TAGTGCACAATTACGCGCGATTGCATCAAGGAATCAGTTCACAAGTAATCACTATCCAAGTGCCACACGCCGATCTTCTTGAAACTTTGCACACATGTAGTACATCGAAAAACATTTTTTATTTTGGCTAACAAGGCATTTAAAGGTTACAACGCATTCGAAAATTTAACATATAAATGAATGGAGGAAAAGTAAATTTCAACTTATTGAGAAAGTAAATACCGGAATTTCATTGGTTCAACCGGAAGCGCAATGAATTTTCTTCTGAATAATTTCAAAAGTTGAATTTTGTTTGATCTAGCTTTTAAAATAGTTAAGCAAAAACAATTTGAGTATTTCTAATGTCATTGAATAGGTTAAGGTGCATTTTCTTATGCACTTCATGTTCAAAAATCAACCGGAAGTTGATGTTCCAATTGAAATTTTCTACTCCCGGTCAGTTTAGAACATGGAATTTATACCATTAAATTCTTCATTTAATTTTATTAAATGTAGCATTTTAAATTTTTAAAATCCGTTAAGTTTTGCTAAAGAAACAACAGTTTGAAAGTAGCCTGAAAATTTGGGACCTTTTTGGATCGTAGTGTTGGATCTATAGCACTCTATAGGTACAGTGAAAAATGTACTTAAAATAGGTATCAAGTTAAAGGCTTTGATGAGCTGATTATAACGATATAAGTTTTAGAGCTGTCCAGTGTACCGTTCCAACACTACGGTCCGAAAAAGTTCCAAATTTTAAGCTACTTTCTTTATGTTTCTTTAATAAAACTGTATGGATTTTAAAAATTCAAAATGCTACATATAATAAAATTAAATGAAATAACATACACAAATGTAAATGAATGGAGAGAAAGTAAATTTCAACTTATTGGGAAAGTAAATACCGGAATTTCATTGGTTCAATCGGAAGCGCAATGAATTTTTTTCTGAATCATTTCAAAAGTTGAATTTTGTTTGATCTAGCTTTTAAAACATAATAACGCTACTCTTGAGCGTTATTCTTTTACAGCTTTACCACGTTACTCTATTATAATTTCATTGTCTGAATATTTCTGAAGTCGCTAATTATGATTTTAACATTAGTTTGTAATCGTAATCATGGGTCTAAAAAAACTTTTCTGGAACTGACTTTGAATAAAGTCTTTGAAATATCTGCGATTTCGGTCCGCCATTTTGAATCTCGCAAAACTAATGTCAAAATCATAATTAGCGACTTCAGAAACATTCAGACAATGAAATTATAATAGAGTAATGTCATAAAAGCTGTAAAAGAATTACGCTCAGGAGTAGCGTTAGTTATCATTGTGCTATACAGTGTTAAATTTTCGAATGCGTCTTCTAACCTTAAAATGCCTTGTTAGCCAAAATAAAAAAATATGTGTCTAATGTTTTTCGATGTATTATACTACATGTGTGCAAAGTTTCAAGAAGATCGGCGTGTGGCACTTGGGTAGTGTTACTTGTCAGTCGAGTCGTTCTACTCCATCTCTGTTATTTAGCGTGTTGGCTGCTGCGCTTTTTCACTGATCATTTTAAAAGTCAACTAAAATGTCGGCTTAAGACCAGAGATATAGTAAATAAATGCAACTCATGTCGGATAGGAGAAAGTTGTCAAAATCGTATTGGCTTTCTAAATCGTACTTGATTTTTTTTTTAATATTTGCATGCATAAAATAAGATATAATCTGAAATTTTCTTTGTTTATTTGTGTGTGTTGTTGTTCATATTTCTCATTATTCATTTATTTATTTACTTTTACCGTTAGATATCGTTTATATTTAATAATTTATATTTAATAGTTAAATTTAATAGTTTATAATTTAATAAGGAAATTGATGAAATATAATTTCGGTAACTCTCCCTTGTATCTGTCAGCTCGTTTTATCGGCTTGTTATTGGTCATACATTTTTAATGTATTACATGTAATTAATTGCAGCTTAGACGTGAGTGAATGAGACGCGGTGGTATCACGAAACAGTCACTAATCACTTCTGTGGCAATTAGTACGTTAATGACTAAGTAAATATTACAAAGCTTTCTTGCGAATATTTAGGATCTTCGCATACGAATTGCCGTAAACTTAAGACGTGAACTTTGGCTGAAGAACCAAGAAATTAAGATTAATTAAGATTTGTCTGAATGAAATCCTACGCACAGAAAAACGCATATTCCACTCAAATAAATGTTATCTATTTCAAGTATTTCTTAAGTTTATATATTCGCAAATCTATTATGAGCACTGAATTTACTCAAAATACATTCTGAATCCTAGTAAATTTAGCATTTCAATGAAGAATATTAAATTAAAAGAAATATTCGGTTTCCTTACTACATAAAGTTGAATCAACTTTTTCTTAGATAAAACTTTATGATATTTTTGTAAAGAGAATAAATTCTTCCTTTGAAATAATTTCTTCTAGAATTTCTGATGTGTGTATTTCAAGATTGTTATCAAAAGATATTCTTTATTGAGAAAATAAACTTTACTTCGAAGAAGCGAAGTAAACAATCACTTTTCTCAGCAGTAAAATGATGTTTTTCTCCGTGTAAGGTACAGGTACTAATTCCTGAACACGTACCTAATCCTGGACATTCTTATTGTTTTGGTCTTTAAATATGAATATTTAAACTTGTAACTTAAAATATATTTATATGTATTCAACATTATATATATTTTATATTGAAAGTTTAAATATTTGTATCTAAAGACCAAAACAAAAAGTGTCCAGAATTACATGTCTGGGCATTGATACTTTTAAATATGAATATTCTATAAACTTAATATAAACTATTAAATTTAACTATTAAATATAAATTATTAAATATAAACGATATCTAACGGTAAAAGTAAATAAATAAATGAATAATGAGAAATATGAACAACAACACACACATACACACACAAATAAACAAAGAAAATTTCAGATTATATCTTATTTTATGCATGCTGCAAATATTAAAAAAAAAATCAGGTACGATATTTAAACTTTCAACTTAAAATATATTTATATGTATTCAACATTATATATATTTTATATTGAAAGTTTAAATATTTGTATCCAAAAACCAAAACAAAAAGAGTGTCCAGGATTACATGTCTGGGCATTGGTACTTTTATCTTACTCGGTCACCTCAGTCTTCCAACTAGAAGAATCCTAGAAGCAACATCCCGTTTAGTTCTTCAACTTAAGTTTACGGTTAGGACGATTCGTGTGCCGAAAGGGCCTGTGAACTCACGAGAGGGGGTCAGACTCGACAGACTCCGTCGGCAGCGACGCGGCGAGGGTTGATCCGGAAATTCAGGATGCTACGAGCACGTGCAGCGTGTAACGCCGTTCCTGACTTAACACGGTGCCTGGCTTCGGCGGTGCTTCGGCGGTCGGTTGAGACTGTCGGTGCACAATGCCGCATTGTTTCGTCGTTGTAGCCATCTAGTCGGTAGCGCACAGGCGATGTTTATTATCCCCCTTTGCGCAACAAAACAAAATATCCTCGTGATATTATCCTCCCTCCGCGCGCGGTCGAATCAGTTTCCCGTATAAAATCCGGGGAGGCCAGTGCACCGTCGTATTTTCAGGCGGCGCACGAGGCAAGAGAAGAGACAATTCGACGATAGTCGAGCCTCGGGCTCGTCCCATCCCGTCGTAGGAAACGGATGCCCTGGAACAGATAGATAGACAGGTAGATAGACATGTCCACGGTAGTGCGCCGTCATAAAACTGGCGTTTCATGAAAGGAACGGAGGTCCGCGACGTTGCACGATAACCGGGCGATACGTTAGCGATACGCCGTGAGTCGAGGAGGTGTCTGGAAGGAGGGAGAGAGGGAAGGGAGGGAACAGAGAAGAATCGTCCGAATGTCGGGCAGAGAGCCGCGAATGCGAAGCGAAGATATCGAGGCTTGCGCGACTCACATTTCACGCATATTTTCCTTCGCGTCCTACATGCGAATACGAAAGAGGCCATCCGTCCATCCACCACTCGTATGAGTCAAGTTTCCACTTTCATGGATGGCTGCCGACCGCCACTCGCGCGAGTCGCGATTTTGTTTGCGTCGCCAGCGACGCGACTCGCCTTTGGCGAACAATTACCGCGTTCTGCGAAGACGAAAAGTGCCCTGTCGGCCAAAATCGGCGGCGGTGGCGACGATGGGCGCGTAGAATCGTCACGACGGGCCCGCGAAACGGAGGTTTCGCAGTGCCGACAGTGAAAGCGAATCTGCGATTCGATCTCCGATCAGCCTTGGCACGATTAGATGCGAATTGAATTCTGCATCTCGCGACGCGCGAATCTCCTCTCTCGCGCTCGACAAGGAGGAGGCCAGGGGAAGAGGAAGGTGGCAGGAGGGGGCTGGAAGGAAGCCGCGAAAGCCACAGGATATCAGCGGGGGCGGAGGAAGGAGAGAGACAGATAGAGAGAGAAAGACAGAGTGGGAGGGACAGCTTTCTTATTTCCATGAAAATTGCGTTCGGCGATTTCGACGACAATGCCATTCCGGTGTTTTAAATGCAAATCCACAAAAGGAAAAACCGTAAGGGCATTATAATTTATATTACTACATGTGGCAGCGGCGCTTCCGGCGAAAGAGCATAGGCGCAGTTCCGGTCAGCCCCGGGTTGGCGAGATCCTACATCGCCAGATTATGAGCCCACCGCCGCTTTTACAATGGATCGTCCGCCTGAGTCGTACGTCAGCAAGAATAATTCTGCGTTACCGCCGCGCGCTCGTCTTGCCAGCAAAATAATACAAACGATCGCCGCAAGGCGTAATATAGTATAAAAGTGAACACGTGTTTCTTTTTTTTTCTTGCCAGCATGCAGAGATAAATAATCCCCCCTCTCTCTCTCTCTCTCTCTCTCTCTCTTTCTCTCTGAATATTGTCGATACGCGTTACCTAATTTGAGCCGCAAGCCGCGCGCTCATTTGAGAGAGTGAAAGGAAATAAATGGTGTGCGCTCTTTGCTAATTAACTCACAACTATATTTATCGATTCTCCGCGGTACATCTGCGTCGTTGGCGATCGGTAAACACGAGTAACGCCGGATATTTTCAGTATGGACAACGGAAGGAGACGGGATTTCGCTTAGCTCGATCTCGGAGAACCGCACGTATATTTTTTGTCGCAGATATTACGGTAGCCCACGGCTACGTTAAGAATTTGCCGTTTTTGATGAATTCCACGATCGCCTGAACAGTGTTCTGGAAGCGTGCGAAGTTCTCGCGACCGTCCTCGGGCGATTTGGACTTATAGATGGCGCTCGTGTACGCCGCGGTCAACGCGGAGACCAACGATTGCGCTTTCCTGGCGGCCGCCTCGATCGACCCTTCCGGCGTTTTGATCTCCTCCGCGGTCTTCACGATCTCCTCCTTGATGATCTCGATCAGCCTCGCGTCGTCCTTCGCGCTCGATTCCCCGGCCGAAACCTCCTGCAGAATGTCCCTGATGGCCTCCACGTTCGCATCTTGCAACCGAACAAAAACGGGTTTCTTTGAGAAGCTCGTGTTCGTGAAAAGTTCGTTTACGTGCAATTAATGACGACTAATGTCTCCCTTGCGAATTGCATTCGAGTGATTCGATATGTCGTTCACCTTTAGCGGTCGGTGCTTCCCTAATTATTCTCTGGGCCAACGAGCCGGTACCCGCCAGGAGGACGATCGCGACGATCGTGAACTTCGCCATCTTCAGGGATCGCATCGAGCGGAACTGTCAATCGTTCGATGTGTCGCTCTCTCTTTTTATACGGACGCGTGTCCTCGTGAGGAGGACGAGCGTGCGTCGGGTAGGGACGTTATGTAAAATGTAATTTATCGTTCGCCGCGTATGCGGCCGTTGACCATTATAAATGATCCTAATGAGTGTCATTAAAAAAGGAGACGCGAGAGAAAGTGGAGCGCCGCAAGCGGCACGTATCAAGAAAGTATATTGTTTTGCTTTGATTTCTACTCGTTGACAGCCGGAAGAAACTGCTGGGAGAGGGAGAAATAAGTGTTAAACGAAGCGTCCCCGTGTGTATCTTAAACTTCGATACACACACAATTTGCATATTAACTCTTTGCACTTTAGTGCCCACACGGAGACATTTGTTTCTCTGAATTCTCTATGTAGGTCTTCTTTTTCTAATAGAAAGTTTCACACAGAAAAAACACTGTGAAAATTAAAATTAAGCTAAAATTAAGCTAAAGTTTCGTGATCTTGGATCGTACAGAGTTAATATTTCCTCTGTATAAAAGTAGGAAAAATCTGACGATCTACCGAATATATGATATCAAAAAATATTCAAGCAATTGCAATAATTTTGTAATAAAAAGTCAAACAACATTTTTCAACAAATAAATAAATATTGATTTCAGCCATAACTCTGTTGTTCAGCCATAACGATCCAAGATTCTGAGTGCAAAGAATCAACATCTTACACAAGTGTCAGGTAGAAAAGCGCGTACTCTCTAAAGTACACTAAGCGTATTCTTCTCTGAAATGTTATATTTATAATTGGTAGTTTAGTTATAAGTATAACACTGCAATTAGTAAAATCTTGCTAATTAGATCAATTAACAGTAGCAACTATCTTCATTATTGATGCATTTTGCGAACATAAATAGCGTCATTGCACGCAAGGTATCGTTATTTCCATCGTCAGAGACACAAAAACTAGGATTTAGTATAACGAATGTTTATCATACATTTACTACAGTGAAATCTTATTTCCACTGCTCGAAATCAGTGAGAAATAAGACGAAGCAGTCAAGTGAGTGTTTTCACTGGAAGTCAGTGTATATTCTCTGGTCTTATTAGTTCTTTTACTGACTCAGTTAGAAACAATAATAATGAATTTAAGGCTTGTAAGATATTCAATAAGAAAATTAATAAAAGTGAGGGCAGTAGAGTCAATATGCAGATGGTAGCTGGCAAAAATTATTTAATATAAATTAAAGTATGAGATAAAATACATAAGTGCAAGTGTATGTTTTGATCACATTTTGAGACCTTCTTCAAAGGAACTCTTTTTCCCTTCTTTTGAAGAGGATCCCAAAGTGTGACCGAAACGTACGCTTGCGCTTATATATTATTACCTCATATACTTAAATTTGTATTAAATAATTTTTGCGCACTACCATCCGCGTGTTGGCTCTACTTAATTTTCTGGACTCAAATAGAAACTTTTTTTACATATTTACTTTAAGAGAGTACGAGTTAATTTCAACGTGAACATCTAATAAGATACAGAGAGAGAGAGAGAGAGAGAGAGAGGGGAGAGAAAGAGCAAGATGTTTGAACTAAATTAATGAATACTCTGTCGAGACGAGATATCTTCGTTGCATTTCATACATTGCACAACGATCTTCGAAAGTACGAACACGAACGTTGTCACGATCGTTGCGGAAGGAGCGATGGCCAGCCGGAAGTGGCCGGATGTTTCTTGTCGGCGAATTGCGGAGCCGCGAGGCGAGTTTTTCTCAACTGTGCGGCAATCGTCGTGCGCGCCGCTGCAATTTTTCGTTGCAGTATATACTGTATACGGCACGTACATCACGATACACGCAATTCCTGCCGACACGACGACGCTCAACAGGTCGTCCGCGTTTCTCCCCCTTCCCCCCGCCTCCGTCGCCCCCCTTCCCTCGAAAAACGCGCAGGGGCAATGCCGATACCGCTGCCGACGGTAAAAGTGCGTGAACACAGGGAGGGAGTGCATCCAGCCATGATTCCTCCTCACCGATTTTTACCCCCTTCCTGCCCCCTTCGTGTCCAGCGTTCTCTCTGCTTCCCTACCTCGACATTACCTTGACGCGTCGCGTCAAATTAAAGGCTGCCGAGGTGGCTTCCACCTGAGGGGCGATTCGAATTTGCTGCAACGCCTCGCGACGATAACGGACGCCCGCGTCCCGAATAATAGCGCACGGTGTGGAAAGTCGGACAAGCGAGAACGAGGGGATCGTGCGTTTTCGCGTTGGCCCCGACGCGAATCTCAGTCAGGTCGGTCACGGGCATCCACGAGGACCCACGGGGGGACGCGCGCATGCACGCGGTTGCCTGAGGAGAGAAGCGAGAACTCGCGAGAAGCCAGCCGTACCTTAATGCGGGATGAATGAAAATACGGGTACTTGAGTAAGCTCAAATTACATTTCATTCATGCAGGAAAAGCAGACACGCGGGAGTCGTCCTTCCGGCTCGCGTTGCGCACGTATCACAGCCGGCCGGACTTGTACGTAATAACGACTGGACTATAATGTGTATTATCCCGACATCCTGTGTGTGTGTGTGTGTGTGTGTGTGTGTGTGGTGGCTTCTTACGCATTTCTTCTCTTGCGCCCAGATACCGGCCCTTGCTCTTACGACAGTGGTTACCGTCGACGGAGACGACCTTAATTCCTTTCCTTCCTTTTCCATGCGAACGCTCACTTTTTCGCAGCGCAATGCTCGACACTTTCGTCTCTCTCCGCGTTTTCTCGTCGCTATTCGTACAATGCGTCGCCTCTTAGGGAGAACTCACACCTTGGCCGAAAAACAGAGAGAGGAGAAGCGGAGGAGACCGATCGTTAGTCGTTTCTGTCTCCACTTCCCTATCAGCGCGAGAGTTGGTTTTCTGCTTTTCTGCCGAGGTGTGAATTCTCCCTCTCGGGCTCCACGGGCTGCAGCCCTCGTGGCGCACCGTGATTGTACAACTTTATTATCGCGCGAGAGTAACTCCCGCGGCGTTCGATCTCGTTGCCTCGAGACAGGGTAGGCGCAGGCAGATAGGTTGCGTAAGATCGCGCCGAGAAACGCCCAATTTTCCCGGCGCACAAAGAGGCGTCCGGAGGCGAGGAGACAGGGCGAAATATCGATCGCGCGTACCATCGATCACGATCTTATCTGGTGCACGGACACGGGATTCACGTCGGGGCCCGCGACTGGATGACGGGGAAACACGCGGGCCGTGTGTACCGGACAACGGCAACGGTGTGTACCGGTACGGTTCCACGTCCGCACGCCCGCGCGATCCGCCGATCCGCGATCACAATGAGAGAGAGGATCGAGGGAGACGTGGCGGCGCGCAGGGGGTGCGACGGGTGGTGCGCGGGGATCAAGCCTCTCTCGCAGGGCCTCGCGAGAGGGGCGGGAGGGAAACCAGAGCGACGAAGCGGGCCTATCGACGAGAGATCCACGGACAGTCTTTATTCTCGTATCAGCACCGGACAACGATGGAAGCGCGACGTGGGCCCATTATGGGCCCGTATCGTGTGGGACACAATGATCAATGCCGACGCGCGGCCGGAGATCCTCGAGACGGGACGAGAGACACCGGCGCTGAATGGGGGCCCCAACGTGTTCATCTCGCGCTCGGGGATTATGGCGCGCGGGGCCCGCCGAAGATCGACAGGGCCGATTACGTCGGCGCTGACTTTAAGCCGCTTTAAACGCTGCCATTCACCACCCGGACGGGCAGCCTGACCCCGCCGCTCGGTGCGCCGATTTGGCGTTTCTTTCTTTCTGTCGCTCTTCCTCGCTCTCTCCCTCTCCCGTGCCGATTCCCTTCGCGCCCTCTTTCTCTCTCTTTTTTTTTTCTCACAATGCACGTATCTCGCGCGGATGCGAGCGGCCCGTACCCGGAAATCGCCGGCGCCGCGCGACGAAATCACGAGCGATGATCGCCCGTGGCTTCGTTTCTCCCTTCTCGCAATGTTATCTCATCGTGGAGATTATGTATTACGCAGAGAATTATTTTTTATGGTCGTATTAACTCCCAATGGGCGCAAATTTGAAATGTAAAAAGGTGCGCGAGATGCAAGCCCGGTCGACTTTGACGGCGTGGATAGGTAAATAGTCAATAAAATTCACGAGCGTAAACAGTCCTAATAGATTATACAAAGGATTGAGAAAAGATATTGAAGAGGGCAGTGATGAAAAAAATTTGTTTCCATGTGATATCTAGGAAAAAAGAAGTCTGCGGAGTAAAACACGCGCCCGTACCCGTCAAAGGGTTAATTTGACTTGTCAGTTTACTCTGAAACAATATCTAAAAAATAAAATTTATTCTCTCAGTAAGTACTGACAACATATTTACTTAAATTGTTTATTGGAATAATCAGCGTGAATAATCAGTATTTTTAAGAAAATATAATAGATATAATAGATTTAATATATTATATATATATATATATATATATATATATATATATATATATATATATAATATATAATAGATTTTATATATATATATATATATATATATATATATATATATATTTAAAATATAATAGATTTTCTTATTTGAAAAATATTTTGTATAATAGCGTAAGTAAATACGTATAATTAGTACCTAACGAATACATATTTTTTATTTTTTAGATATATATATATATATATTTTTTTTTTTTTAAATATAATAGATTTTCTTATTTGAAAAATATTTTATATAATAGCGTAAGTAAATACGTATAATTAGTACCTATACGAATACATATTTTTTATTTTTTAGATATCTTTCCTTTCAGTGTAGTCAGTAGAAAATATTAAGAGCAGAGTTAGCGCGGTTTCTTTCCTATTGGAAATTTATTCCACATGGAGAAAAATAATTTTGCTCTTTTAGCAAAATCGTCGTTGTTACTGCAACATATTCGTAGTGACATCAAAAAAATTTAGTTGACGTAACTAATTTTACAAATTATTCGTTATCAGAGCAAAAGTAGTTTCGTTGCCAGGATAGAAAAAATTTG